TGATATAGCAAAGTAAGTGTAAGCCTAACTAAAGGCTTGTCAGTATTCCCAATGAAACAAACAGGTCTTTAATATGTTAAGAAGCACCTACTGGGTGTGGAAAACATTGTTCCTAACATGGAGCATTTTCGTCACAGAATTTAAGCTTTAATCAAGGTTTAATTATAAAGGCTTCTATTTCAGGCGGTTTATAGATGAAATGCCAGTGACTGTTTCACAACAGACATTTAAGTGAATGTGCAGAGGGAACACATCATACCGCATAAGGCAACCCACGTCTGTAATTAATAATGTGTTTGGTGGAGCCTGTACTTAACTGAAACATAAGAGAAAATTGCTTCAGGAAACTAAAACACGCAAAGATGCAGAGCAAGCACTTAACGGTGGTCTCAGCCCTATGAAAAATAATAAGAATATGAAATGCACCCATATGGTTTAAATAAAGGGAAGCGTGTGTTCTGAGTTAATGACACACGCTTAGCGGAAAGCCATTCCTCCTCCTGCAGGGGAGCTGGGAGCTAGCGTCACCTGGAGCTCCACACCAGCCAGGAAGGCCCCTCCTCTGAGATCACATACCACTGTTTCCAGATGTGGAGCTGTGTAGTAAAGGCTACTGTGTTTGATTTTTAACTCCAGCCCTTGGACATCTGGGAGGATTCCCTTGGCCTGGACTGCCATTCCCCATAGGATTCTCTTGCCTTAGCGAGGCAAGGTCAGGAAAAGGGGAGAAGGAGGAACTGGACGTGATGAATCGCAACTGTTATTGCTACGGTGGCGGAGTGCAATGTTACTATGGCAATAATTATTTGTAAAAAAATCCTCAAATTTGTAGGTACAGCTAATCCTGAAAGCAAGCTGTGAGCTCTGCAGGGCTGGGCAGCTGAGGCGTGGAGCCAGGCAGACGGCCAGGGTTTTAAACTCTTCAGCGGTGTCCCGCCGCGCTACTGCCACAGCCACAGCTGGAGACACTTTGGTAGGCTCTGCATTACCCTTGCCTTTTAAAGAACAAAAGCAACCAAATGCAAAGCAGCAGTTCTTTACATTCTGCCTTCTACTAAACATATGGTAGAGTCTCCCGTATACCACGTGATAATGCAGCTGATTTAAAAAACTTCAATATTTGCAAATACATTGAAAGAAATCTGCATGTTAATGACCTCAGCTTTTCAAGATCTTTTGAAGGTGCCCAAGGTATCACACCATGTATTCCATGAACAAACTTAACTCTGCCTCTCTCAGTCCTTCTTCTGAGTGGAAAACTGCTTGGTACAAGGTAGCAAATAGGCTTTTGAAATTCACTGCCAATTCACTATCAAGGAGACCTTTAGGTGAATCAGATAAAGGCCTGACTGGATCCCTTAAAACCAGACTCTGCACGTGCATTCAATTATTTTGTGTGAGTGCAATGAGTAAGAATTGAATTAAACTCCCCTCCTAGCCAATATATCTTACCATTTTCTTGTCTAAGAGGGATGGTTTGCTAAAAGTCTGTGGGGTGCAGAGAAAGAGGAAAACAATATAATATTTTATGAAATCTCTGATCATGTATTATTTATTTCTACTTCATAAACTACTGGATTGATAGTATCTTCAGGCTATTCTCCTGATGGATGAGATGGGATCAGCCAAACAGGGAGCAGAGCCAATGTTACAAGACCCTTGTAATCATGGGCAAAATCAATTTTGAATGAATTGTGTGTGCGACACACACGTGCACAACAAAAAAACCCAAGCATTCTAATTGATTAAGAAACAAAGGCTCAAGTTGCTACCCTCATAAACAAAAAATGTTAACTATGTTTGGGTAATTAATATATCTGGTGAAGTTTCAAACTAAGTGCAGCTGTTACACAACCACGAAAAGCAGAAGATTTGTGTATAATTGCTCACTCAGCTTTATTAATTGGTACTGAAAAACAAATACTGTTTACTGTGTTCATGGGAAATAGAAACTTCTGCAATGAATTCAATTTCATTAACAAGATTTTTCTTTACTTATAAAACTGCAGCTTAAACATTTTTTTATCCATCTTTTCATTTGAAGAAAATGGGGGGTTTGAGTACGTAGCATAAAACAGAATCAGATTTAGGATATTACAGTAGATTCTGATATACATTTGGTCACCTTAAGGGAAGTCAGAATTATTTAAAATATGAACTCCTGCATTGAACAGAGTTCTTAGTAGTCACAGCCAGAGGAATGCATTTTATTAACATCAAGTGGTATTTGTTTCTGAAACAATTTATGCTTTAAAGGGCTATTTTTGATAGTCATTGTTCCTGTTACATGAAAACTAGAGAAAATGTGCTTAATTTTTTTTTTTTTTAAATAGCAGTGCAATATATGATCAAGTAAACAAAGATGTTTCTATAGGGATGGAAAATGTATCTCAGCTCAGAACCACACTAAATCTTGTAAAAAAATTTTTGGCCTAATAAAAACTACATGGGGAATGTATGGAATTCAGAGAATGTATTTATCTTGGAAGCTCTTGAGATCTTGTTCTTGTATTTCTCTGGAAAGTATATAGCTTTTTTTTTTTTTTTTTTTTTGCTGTTACAGGATAGGACAGGTACTGGGAAGCATTTATGAAAACAGAGGTGAGAGAGGACCTTGAGGCACTGAGGATTGAATCAGTTTATTACAAGGACTACAGAAATAAAAAAAGTATGGCATGGTACATTTGAACCTCAGTAACTACTTCAGTAGCAATTTTATGGCAAGCAACTCAGAGTGGCTACATATCACACTATGTATATTTTGTCGTAAATTGTGATGTTTCCCTTAAGGAGTCAAGGGAAAGAAGAGAGAACAGGGATAGCAACAATCACCCTGCTCTGCATCAGGTGCTGTCTCTCCTTCATGGTTTTTCAAAGCTTCACAAAGGTGTTCCACTTCTATCAGGCCTGAGGAGTCACATGGAGATAAAGCAGTGCATAGATCCTCCTCTACAGCTCTACATGGATAAAAAACCAACACAGCACAAACAGTTACTGGCAGCAATTTCAAGGGGCCAAATTTCATATCCCATCGCACTCCAGGGTCTAAGAAAAAAAAAAAAAAAAAAGGCAGCATTCAGCCAGTGCAATTATATTGCTAGATGTTTTATTGGCTGCCCTCTAGTGAGACCTCTCAGTGGCACAGTCCCTAACCTCGGTGTAGGTGTTGGCTGGGCAGGAGTCAAGGTGCTGTGTTTAACCTCCTTGTCTTGGTCTCTAGTATTTAGATCTGCAGCTTTTCCTTCCTGAGCAGTAGTGATTAGGCACTAGACACATGTCGGGCAGAAAAGAGAGAGGTTCTATCCTGGGAATTTCTTGGCATTGTTGTGATGACAATTAAAGGGTGATTTTCTCATTAAAAAGGTGGGCAACAGCATATAGTAGGTTTCCACAGTTATTTCACAGTCTAAGATTTAAGGATAGATTTTTAATTGTTATTCATGAAAGGTCATCTTATCCAAATGTTTTAAAGTCTGGTTTAGTTAGCAAAGTGTGATACTCATTATAGGCCACCATTTCTAACAAAATCTGTCCTGAACATAAATCTGTCCTTTCTTCATTTCAGGTACCTCAAAACCCTGTGAAACTGTGATCTTCTCAGAGCCTTTGCAGTCACACTTTGCAGCATGCTCTGAATTTCTAGGTAATCCTTATCTAGCAAAACTTGTGTTCAACAGGAGCTTTGGGGGTCCTCTTGCTCAAACCTGGAGCTGGTCAGACTTAAGCCAGCAGAGCAGCGGGTCTGTAAACTCAAGAGGGGCCAACTTTACTGCTTCCATGCCTGGACATGATGCTGGCATGTTTGGTTTAGCTCACATTTGACTTTGGAAATAAAGAGAAAAGGTCAGGCCACATGAAAGAGGCTTGGTGACTCTGGGAAATGAGACAAAGGCTCTTTCTTCTGAGTCGCCTTCAGTTCCTATGACCCACATTTTCATAAAAGAATGTCATTTCCCAGCACACACCTGATGTGCAGAGGCTTTTCTGCATCCCACACCTGTAAGGGTTGCATGCCCTGTTGTTTTGTTTCTCTCCAGTACTACATTTCCCCCGCTCCTGACTCCTTGCTCAAGATGTACTTACACGGAATGATCTGAGCACCCACGAGGGTTGTGTGTGAAGCACACATCCTTTAAAAAGGGTCTGCATCACCACTGGCACGTGTTCTATATTAGTCAGTGTTGGAAAAGATGGGTGAAAACTGTGGATCAGGAAGTTGGACAAAGACATTTGCTCACCACCTTTGGCAATGGATGCAAAATAGGAAAATATTATTTTATAGCACTTCCAATTCTGTTTGCAGTAATCGTAGTTTGGCACATACCCTCTACCACAGCAGGCAAAATGCTATTAAATTGTGTCAGATTTAAGGGAAAATAATGGAATTTTTCTTCCATAAATCATAAATCCCTGAGTCTTTGCAATCTTTTAATGGTTTTATAATCCAAGCCCCTGCTTACATTACTTTATCTTTATGAAGGTGATAAAGAAAACATAACATAGTGTATTTGATTATAAATTATAATTTTATAACCATCAAAAAATGCTAACTTGCAAAACTTTTGTTCATGCTTAGGTTTTCACATGCTTAAATGCCAGCAGATGTTCAATGATCAATAGAAATCAATTTATATACATTATTCTGAAGCATCTTTGATCACAAATACAGGCTGGGAATGTCTAACTTCTCTCTGAGTAAGAAAGATGATACTAGACTACAATGTTTCAGGATGGAATTCTACTGAGGTAAATTTTACTTCAGCTCTAGAAATAGAACACTTCTTGATTTTCATTAAGCCTGCTGGGACAGAACCCACGATTTAGAACCTGAAGTGCAGCTTTGTGGAAACAGCAAGTGTCTAAAATTAACTTCAGCATTATCAGGCAAAGGTCTTGCTTATTATGGTAAACTAAATGTCCCCAGAGGCTATAGGCTTTATAACAAGGTGTCCCTGAATTGTGGTGTTGACATTTACAATGAGAAACAAACATACCTTTACTGGGGAGTGCACACTGATTCACACAGTGGCCAGGAAAGCAGGTCCCAAGATGTTCTTCATTTCAGAACCGGCTCTCCAAAGAAAACACTGGGAGTGTGAGACAATGCACGTGCTCTCATACCCATCACAAGAGTAGGATTGGAAGAACAAGCTCCTCTGAAACCAGGAGCCTGTCAGATGAAACAGAAGATGGTTCAAAGTGGAACAAGAAGGACCAGTTTTATGCACTTCGTATGTTAAATAAGAAAAGATGAAACGAACAACAGAAGCAAAAAAGGTAAAGTGATATATTGTCTTTGTCTTTCCTGTCCTTTCACTGCACTTTGTCTACAGAAGTAGCAAACCCAGCAGAATTAGACAAGAGTGACAAGAGACCAGCCCATTTCCCCAGATGCAGAGTTACTTCAGTGCTGAAACTACAATTTCACTTTTTCCTGATCTCTGCACTTTACTCCTTGCCTTGGATATGAAAGGGGCATTTGACCAGTCAGGGGGTTTAACTTTGCTTACAGGATTGCCAGACTCCTGTTCCTTCAGTGTGCAAAGCCAGCTCTGAGGTTGCTGCTGCCCATCCCCTGCCAGCAGGGACATTGTACAGCGCCTTTCCACTGCGTCAGTGAGGAATTTGCATTCAGGAGAAACAGGTTAGGCCAGACACTTTCCAACTGTAAGCTACTATAAGAACAATCATGTATAGTTACAACCCCCAGGTCATTTTTCAAAGTTACTTCTTTCTGTAAACTCCAAATTGTTTTTTTCAAATATAATCTCAAATTACTTTCTCTTTTGTTGAAACACTTCCCCTTCATTGGTAGCTGTCGCTTAAATTAAAAAGAAACCAGCCTGCAGGATTGGTCTATAAATCTTTGCAACTGCCTTACATGGTGGAGAAACTAGCCTGATAATTATTTTGCTACTTAAAGCTGTTTTTTTAGATATGACACAGCTTATGTTACTCTTGGTTAAAACTAAGCCTAGGAGAGCACCGCCATGAAATCTTCAGCTGTAAATTTTCTTAGTATAAGATTCCTTTGAAACATGATAAATTGTGGAGCTCAGAGACGTTCTTACTGAGATGTTTATTTTTGTCATATAATCTTCTGAAAGGGTGTATGTTGTAATTTTTGGTTAAATCTTTCATGTACAGGCAGTGTCTGTATCCGGTTCTACATAATATCTGTCAACAAATTCATTACTGATGGTGAAAAGAATTTTCTGCCAACACATTTTTTTCTGGCTTATCCAGCTACAACCCCTTTTTCATTCCAAAAGTTGTCCTGATTCAGAATTCACAAACTCACTTGGCACTTTACTGCTAACAATAGCAGGCTTTTAATTGAGTTCCTATTAATTCCATGCACTGTGGCAGCACTGCTAGGGTTTTCTTAATAATTTAGTGAGGTACTGTTCAGATATTTGTACCTAACCCACCTGTCATAGGTTTCCCTTCTCGAGAGGCTGTGGTGTAAGATTTTTCTTAAAAAAAAATTTAATTCTCCTGCCAAACAGTCTCCTGAGCCTCCCCACACGCTAGCACATTGATAAAGGCTTTCACACTGAAATGAGAAACACATCCTTTCCCAAAAGCATCGGCATATGTTCTTGCTGGAGCAGTCTGAAACACATACACAGGATTATCATGACGCCCTTGAGACTGCGACCTTGTTTCTGAGAAATGCACTGACAAAAGTTACCACAAAGAGGGAAGATCCCCAAGTGAAACCCCAAGTTTCTGTGCAGAGAAGGTCCTGCTGCTGGTTCAGCAGGCACCTCTCTTCCTGTTGCGTAAGTACTGAACCAGCAGGATCCCAAAATGTGAAGAGGCACTTTGTAAGATATGCCATTTTCAACTTGCTGCTGTTAAATGTCTCCTTATGTCACAGTCATTTACAGAACTCTTCTAAGCACTGCCTGTGTATGTGTGTGTGTTATTGCTATCCATTTAATATGCATGCACAAATAATAAAAAAAATTAGAGTGCTTTTTCATAAGTAATTTTTTAAGGCAAAGATACATCTTTGAGACAGCATTATTATTTAACAATTCTTATTAAAACAAACTTAGCTTTACACTTGACAGGATTTGGTCATGGTTAACTTCAAGAATTATGTATCTCATCTTTTCACAGGTGTATCTTTCACTGGTTAAACTTTGCAGAAGTTATGGACATAATTCATGGTGAGAACACAGCTGACAAAAACAGCACATGGAGCCAAGTGAAGAAATATGATTTTCACCATAGTAATAATTTCTAGGTGTTCTGGTAAACATCTGGAAAGCTGTAGTTGGGATGTAAAGATTTTGCCTGTATTTTTTAAAGTCACGCTTCTTTGAATATTTTGCCAATTCTGCACATTTTGCTATTGATCTATATGGACCAGTGGACTTGAAACAGACTTTTCCATTGAGCTGCATTCCCAGAACAACACCAATACCATTCAGGCGGGTTTGTGTCCAAAGGCTGGGCTCCTCTCCCTGCCCTCAGCTCCAGGTGCGTGCAGCCATGCGTCACAGCTGGCACCGTGTGCCTCCTTGGGCTCTGCGGGACCTTCTTGTGTAAATAATTGCAGATAGCTGATAAACAGGTACTTTTTTATTGTGCCAGTGGAAGGGTTTTGTTAGCATTTCCTTTGATCGTTTCATAAGGAAACTTCTGTTGTTTACCTAGGAGGCACTCACAGTAATATGTTCATTTACTAAGTCGGCACATAAATGTTCGAGCTGCGTTGCCTCCAAACTGCGGATGTGCTAAATGCTCCATGTGTCTGGAAAAAGTCACACTGGGGAGAGATGTGCCATCTGCAAATCATTTTCTAAAAAACTCCAAAGAGCAAGGGACTCTCATTTGAAAATGCTTTTATTTGAGAAATCAATGTGTCCTTCTTTTGATCCTGAACTGCCTTGGGCAGAAACATTTGAGCTTCCTCTTTGGAAAAATACTTCTTATTTTACACAGCTGTCTAATGTTTTGATGGTGAAATTCATTCTCTGCTCTGGTAAAACTTGTAGTGATAAGGGGAAGAAAGAGTGTAAACTTCAAAGACAAAAAAGACAGAGGTCTTCCTTTCCAGGCCTTTTAGGGTATAGGCTATAAATCCTCCCAATTTCTCCAGATAAAGGTGGTTGAGACCCCAGAATGGTGCTGCTGTCACTCATGTAGTCTTTGAACACAATCCCATGAGATGTGTGTGAGGGGAGGTAGAGCTGACCTGACCTTATTGTCAGAGCCCCTCACTGCTGTGATGCCTCTTCCCTCATCCTGCCGGTTGGGTAGTGGGGACTGCCCAGTCAGCAAAACATTTGCTGTTTCCTTGGCCCTTAACTGGAGCTTTTAATTGCTGAGTCAGTATTCTGATATCACCAGAAGTCCCTGCTTTGTGCTCTGCTTTGAAAAAATTTATCTCTTTTGGTCTCCGTACCAGTGCAAATCATGCATGCAGAGCCCTTCTACAAACCATGGCTTGAGAATTCAGAATCTTTCCTTGGCATCTTTACCCTGAGCAATTGGCTCCTTAGCACATTAGGAATTCTCCATTGGATTCTGGGCACATGATGGGGGGAGCTACATCCTGCTACTTTAAGTCGTCCAAATGCTTCCAAGATTTTTCAAGCCTCCTATGAAAAAGTGTGAGCAGGTGACCTTACTGCTCTTATACATCTATATCATCCTGGTATAATGTCACAGGACTTTCTCTGCAGCTCACTGGGCTGGGCCAGTTCAGCTCACAAAGCTGGCAGATAGCTATGGACAGTTTTCTGATGGCTTTAACTCTCTCCTGGGCTCCCTAGTTGAGAAGATCCATGGCTGCTACTGCTGGATGCCAGAACTTGCACAAAGGCAAGTGGACAAGGAAACTGGAGCCAGCAGCAGAACTGAGAAGAGGGAAAAGGATCTTCTTCCCATTTTGGCAGCAGCAGCAATCATATTTGACGTAATCATGTTGTGTGTCTTCACACTAAGATCTAGGGCCTTCTGTACTCAGTGGGGGAATACAATTCCTTTGGACAGTGACTAGAAAACACAAGTTGTCTATGCCAGCAGGTCCTATGCTCATCTTATGGAGATACTCTTTTCAGAACATCATCAAAATAAAGACAGGATTTTTACTTTTGGACTTCCCTTGTTGACCAAAGGATTGGAGGACAGAGACATATTGTGCTAATGACACAAATAAAATTTTAAAAGACTTCTTTAGCTGAAACTTTTCATTTGTTTGAGGTTAATGTCATTGCTAATAGAGCCAAACAAACAGTACAGGCTTCTCTCAGTCTCCAGTATCTTTATTTGCAGTATCACAATGCACAAGATTCAGAGGCAGAATAGCAAATTACAGTTTGCCAGTACAAAGTGTTACTCTCTTTCAGACAGCATTTGGATCTTCTGCAAACAGCTTTAGAAAGACCATTTTCAAATCTGCAAAATCTGTAAAATCGTACCTGTAAGCAGCAAATTCTGTGTTTGTCCCCTTGAGAAGGCCTGAAAATAAAAATATGGAAATTCTGATTGTGGTAGAAAATAGACGCTCCAAACCAATGAGGGTTTATTTATAAAACAGATTTCAAGTTGTTCTGGATTCATACAGACTCCTATAGCTTCACCTCGGGACATCAGATGGCTTCATTTCCTGGCATGGAGATTAGCTGGCTGACTCTCTCAGTAAGAACATTTGATCTGAACTCCCAAACATCCTGATTCAGAGCAAAAGAACACTCCACAGAACACATGTATTCTGCAAAATGGGGAGATTAGCAATATGGTCCCCACTGTGTGGACTGCCATTGTGCTGATCACAGTGTCCTGATATGCTGGAGTGGCTTCTGGAGCAAACAAAGTCAGGAACACAGCTGACCTTGCTAAAGGTTCATTCTGGCACCCTTGAGCAGTGACATTTTGAGACATGCTTAACCATGGGCTTCCAAGACCTGTCTGAAGCACACCTCCATTGCATCTAAATCCTATTTAAATCTTCTGATGGCTCTTCCTTATGACCAGCTGGCAACATCATTTAAACTTTTAAAATTTTACTTCAAAATTTGCACTCAACGAAAAATGCATCTCTTCACTGTGTCCCTGCTAGCCACCTCTCAGAAAGGTGGGAAGCTTACAAAGTTTATTTTGCAATACCGCCACAGAGCCACTTCCAAGAAGACAAATGTCTGATATGACCTCATTTGAATACCATTCCGATTTCTAGTTTCTGTTGAGATCACATATTTTAGCATTTGCTTATTGGAAATTTGGGGATTTGCCTGCAGTTATGTTTGGTATTTCATTTTTCTGCAGTAGAAAGAAATGGGGTGGGGTAAAGGACATTCTTGGCAGCAAGAACTTCTTTCCAAAACACAGCATGTGGTAGGAAGTGCCTGGCCCTGAACATGCCTTGGGAAGCAGTCCCCTTGGGGTGATGCTATATCACTATATATGACTCAGGTACTTCTGTAGAATCATCCTTATTTTGACTCACTTTGCAACACCAACCAGCCTTAATGGCAGAAGAAGGATATGGTTTATTCAGCAAGAATTACAGCAAGAGTTCTAGTTATGAAATCTGAAACAAAAGGCTGCAGGTAGGGCAGGTGTGAAATACGATTCCAGACAAAGTGTAAAAACCGGATATCTTGGCAACAGCTTATTCCAGTTTACTTGGGAGACTTGAGGTATTTTTTCTGTCAGAACTGGAGCTACTATCTCCTAGCAGCACCCTGATCTCTGAGGGTTTGTGGCAGGCTGGTCTGGGAATGGTCACTCGTGTTGCTGCTGTGCCTTGGGCTCTCCCCTCCTGGGCAGTAATTTCCCTGCTGCTGGAGTGAACCTGGATGGCCTGACTTACATCTACCAGCTCCCACACGTGCACAAGTAGCTGATTTGTCTTTCTGTCTCCCTCATTTAATTTGCATTCTACTTCCTGGTTCATATTTACTACTGGCACAGTCTCAAAATATTCCACTTGCCACGTGGGCTAGTTCACATGCCCTGCTCTGGACTACACAGGCAGCTACCCATGGCAGCCTTGGGAAATGGAAGAGCAAACTCTCCTGTGCTCAGCTTCTACCTAACCCACCTGGGGGGTGATTCCATTTTCACCTAATCTAAACTGTTACCTTATACATTTAAACTTTCTAACATCTGATATTTGATGCTCTAGGGGATATCAGTTATACACACGCGCTGTAAAGTTCACAAAATGGTGCTGTAAACTGGCACAGGACCAGCTCTTTATGAAGCCCATATGTACCACATGAGCAAAGCAGCTGATAAAGCTGGTGACAAAGGTACTTTGTCCAAATTCCTGATGGCCTTAGAAGTCCTGCTGTCCAGCTTTCCCAAACCACAGCAGCAACACAAAACACCATGGATACTGTCCAGGTGTCTTCATCACGCAGCACAAAGCCTTTTGGGCCTCATTCTCACTGGAGACCCTGGGTGAGGACACACAGTGTGCCTGCTCAGAAACTCTGAGAAGGCTCTTTATAGTTTCTCCCCACAATCAAACTCTCTCCTTCCCTTCTCTATCAAATTTTTTCCACTCTGCAAATATGCTGGCACATCTTGGCACAACTATTTGTGCAACTACATGCTGACCCGGATCAGGGAACTGATCCGAGTTAAAAATAACTCAGCAAAAGAAAAGGTTATTTTTAACCCAGCTGAGATCCCCAGCCCAGCTTTAGGGGCAGTTGTGGTGCTATGGGGAGGGTGCAGCACGGGACCCACAGAGAGTGGCAGTGAAGGGAGAGGTAGGAGCTGACACTGCTTGGGTAGCATCTGTGCTATGCCACGCTGCTGTTGCAGCAGAAAGGACCTGCAGCTCCTGCAGAAAGTGCATCAGGTAAGATGATGCAAGGATGTAAAGATGATGTTCAGCCGACCTGGGCAGGGAAGGCAAGTCTGGGAGGTGTTTTCACCACCCCTTTTTTCCTTGAACTCAGCTCCTGTGGCAGTGATGGTGACTGTGTTAGTAGCTGTAATGGTCTGAAGATAGCCCAGTACCTGTGTATATACAGACACATAAAGAAACAGGTCTCTTGTGCTATTAGTGCTCCTTCTCTTCCTCTGCAGACTGTGAAACATAAAACAAATTAACTGCTTATACAACCCTACAGTCTCACTTTTCCGAGAACCTCATAATACTTATAGACAATCACTAGATCTGCAAGACTTAGAAGAGTGTCCAGATTGTTCCTCCACACTGATAGAAATCAGGATTAGCTTTGGACACTGATTTACACCTGCTTGAAACTGGTGTGCGTAACAGGAAAGACCAGGAGTGCTGGCAGAAGGGATCCTCACTTCCACTTTTGCATTTGTGTATGCTGCTTTTCAAGAGTTCAGAGATAGCTGGCTGCAAACATCCTTCCCCTTTAGCCTTTGAATACACTGTTAATGAAGTGATTTTCAGCCGATATATCTAACAGGCAGGTATTTCCTTCCTGCCCTTCCCCTTGCTCTTTTGGAATGACTACATAGCTTCTTTTTGGCATATG